ATTCCTGCCCATCCTGTTATGTTTCTGCCAAGGACTTAAGTAGCTGGAAACCAGGAGTAGAGAAAGGAGATTTAAAAAAAGAGAGAGAGAGCAAAACCAGAATAGAAGGGAGTAGACTAAGTAGAATAAATTGGTGGAGAGGCCTACCTAGATAAATCTTTCTGGGAGGTAGGGAATGAAACTTTCAGGCAGGGAATTGAGATCTTCAGTTCTGTCCTGGTAAAGGAAAGAGGCAGAGCAGCAGCCAGCAGTGTTAAGGACAACTTTTTATAACTGCCCAGTATTTCCTGACCCTTCTCAAAGGTTGAGGAGAATATAGGGTTTTTTTGAAGTTTTTGGTTGGGGTGTCACATTAGGCACACAGGTATCTGTAATGAAATCTCCCCTTCAGTTTGGTCATAGAAGTACTTGGACAAGTCAGAAAAATAACTATCTGTGGGCATCCCTTTAAGATACTCCCAAGTCTACCCTGTGTCATAGCAGTAGTTCTCAGAGTGTTTGTTTAGTGGATCCCACTTTGAACTTTCCCAAGTACCACCAACTAACTTGTCTGGTGTTCAGCAATTGCCCCTACCAAACATCCCTTTGGAACTCTGAATGATTTGGGCCTCACAGAACCTCCCTAAAGACTAGGAACTTGGGGCCAGGTGTGGTGGCTCATACCTGTAATCCCTGCACTTTGGGAGGCCGAGGTGGGTGGATCACCTGTGATCCTGATTGAGAAATCAGGAGTTTGAGACCATCCTGGCCAACACGGCGAAACCCTGTCTCTACTAGAAAAAAATATGAAAAATTAGCCGGGTGCATTGGCAGGCACCTGTAATCCCAGCTACATGGGAGGCTGAGGCAGGAGAATTGCTTGAACCCAGGTGGTGGAGGTTGCAGTGAGCCAAGATCATGCCACTGCACTCCAGCCTGGGCGACAGAGCAAGACTCTGTCTCAAGGAAAAACAAAACAAAACAAAAGGAACTTGGTGACAATCATTTGAACAACTAGGCAGCCACTCTGCAGTCAGTTGTCATGATGGCATTCCCTGGCCCCCTTCCTATCAGCCTCTACCTAAGGAAGCTGGATAGAAAGCTAAGCACAGCCATGGTTGGGAGGCTACATCTGAAGCTCAGCAGGGGTGTCCCCGGGGTTACCAGCCTTCAGCATTCCCTCTAGCAATACCCCATTCTCTTACCTAGGGGTGATTTGCACCTTTCCACTGAGGCCTCTCTGTGCTCCTTCCCTACCTTTCATGGTAATACTGTGGCCTGCCTCTTATCCTGGTACTAAGTTAAAGTAAAGTTTGAAAGTTCCACTCTGAGCCTTGACTCTTGGCCACAGTGAGGCATGTTGAAGGTTCCTTCTGGTTTATTCTTATTTGGATTCCCCATGGACCATGTGAGGCCAGGAACTCTCAAGTTCTGGAAAGATACGACTGCTTCTGGACCTTTGCGTTTATGATTACATGGTATCGGGGATGATTAGATGACTTTTAGTGATTCTTCTGGCCTCTAAAGATCAGTCAATAATTTTCTAGTTTTGGAATTGAAATGGTTGGGGTGAACTCGGCTTAGGATATAATCTCACTTAATGAAGTCAAAACATTTGAATTTTCTAACCAAATAATTATGTTTTAAACCCCAGCCTTGATAGAGTCTCTAAAAAATGTCTTGAGACAGTTATGGGAAGTCTTCAGCTTCATTCACCTTTGAATGCTGCCAAGTTGATTACTCTCCTAGCCCACATCTCCTTGATGTGTATGAGGAAGGACTGGGTCTAATTTTGGGGGTGGGCTGGCAAGGTAAGAAGGTGAGGTCAGTTTTTACCAGAGTACTAAAAATTCTAGTACCTTAGATTGAGGGTATGGGAGAAAAGGTGTCTACCCAGGTCATAGTTCTGAAAATAGGCAGTAGCATGAAGTACCAAACCTATCTAATACTTTATTAGATGTCCATCTCAAATACAGGGAGTTTGAAAATAATGTTTTTATCATTTGGTATTTCCATGCTTGGACTCATTTGGGAAAATAATGTTTTTTGACTTTTTTCTATTTTCATGCCCTGCACAGACCCTACCTGGTACAATTTTCTATTTCTTAGCTCAGAGTGTCTATAGAGTGGGTTGCCTGGTATGTCAGCTGCCCTCACTCTTGTGTAATAGAAATGTATTTCCAGGCTGGGGACATGGAGGAGACGAACTGGATTCCTCCCTCCTTCTGTTGCCAGGCCTCTCTGCATTGGCACTTTATCTTTTCAGTGTTTCTGGCTGTGTTGGGTTTATTTGTGAGACTGATGTAACAATAAAATGAAATCTTCCCCTCTGTGTGCTTGTCTGACAAAGTCTTTGTGTCAGGGCCCCAGTCTGGAAGGTGGGGGAGACCAGGTACATTCTGATTGCATCAGTGTTTTTCTCTTAGGGTCTTCTGTTCCTCCATTGTTACTGGCCCTTCAGGTGTCTCTTATTGACGGCATGTCCTTGGGCAAGTTAGTGAACTTCACTGAACTTGGTTTTGTAATCTATAAAACAGAAGTAATAACAGTGCTTACCTCGCAGCATCAAATGAGAAAATCCATATAGAGTGGTTGGCATATGGTGGTCACTCAGAGCTTCAAATATGGGAACAATCTTTTATGGTGGGTCAGTCAGCAGTGTTTGAGAGAACACTTCTAGAAAAGGAAATATAGCTAGACACAGTGGCTCACACCTGTAATCCCAGCATTCTGGAAGGCTAAGGCTGGAGGATTACTTGAGCCCAGGAGTTCAAGACCAGCCTGGACCATACAGTGAGATCTCTTCTCTAAATTTTTTTTTTTCATTAGTCAGGAGTGGTGGCATGCAACTGTAGTGCTAGCTACTCGAGAGACTGAGGTGGGAGAATCACTTGAACCCGGGAGGTCTAGGCTGCAGTGAGCTGTGATTGAGCCACTGTACTCCAGCCTGGGCAACAGAGTGAGACCCTGTCTCAAAAAAAAAAAAAAAAAAAAGAAATATTTATTTAGTTCAAACAAATGGAAGAGGTTTGAGAATGGAAAGGGTTGAATGAACCTTAATATATAGTTAAAGTCATTGTCTAAATGGCATCCCAAATAAATGTATTTTAAAGATGATGGAAACTTACGTTTTAAGTATTGATGTTTTTAATATGACTTAAACAGCATGGTTAAATAGTCAACAAGCAATCTGCTTTCATTATGACAATGGTTATCATCATCTAGAATTATGGTTTTACTACTACTCAGACGATACTGCCATTCTACCTCAAAAGATTTTGTTTTGTTTTTGCCAATTTATTCTAATGATAAAAAACGTCAAGTATTTCACCTACTAGGTCCTTAAGCAATGAGTGACAGAATCAATATTCATAAGCATCTCAGAAGAATAAAACCAACAAATTAAGTTTTACCCAGAGTTAAGAATATATATTGTTACCTTCATTTTAAAATACTTATTTCATTTGCATAGTGGGGGAGAACTTGGATTAACAGAAATTCGTGTTAAAATGATACTGATGTTTTAGTTGATTACACGTTGTATGTAGAAATATTAAGGACTAGGACTCTTTGTATAGGAGATGTCATTTGCAAGACAGGGACGTGTATACAGTTTGTGGCATGTCCAGAAAAGTGCAATGGTAGTATGATTACTGTCTTCAGAGTTGTCATTGGAAAGTGGCTTTTTTTTCTGGTACCAAAGGCAAGCATTTCTTTCTTTCTTTTTTTTTTTTTGAGACGTCGTCTCGCTCTGTTGCCAGGCTGGAGTGCAATGGCATGATCTCGGCTCACTACAACCTCAGTCTCATGGATTCCAGATTCAAGCAATTCTCCTGCCTCAGCTTCCCAAGTAGCTGGGACTACAGGTGCACACCACTACGCCCAACTAATTTCTGTATTTTTAGTAGAGATGGAGTTTCACCATGTTGGCCAGGATGGTCTCGATCTCTTGACCTTGTGATCCGCCCGCCTAAGCCTCCCAAAGTGCTGGGATTATATGTGTGAGCCACTGTGCCCAGCTGAAGGCAAGCATTTCTAATAAATGGAGGTAGCAGAGAGGTATACCCTGACTCAACTGGAGGAAAGCATTTACTATATACCAAGGACGATGCTATCCCCTGCAAAGAAGGTGGTATTATTCAGTTTTACAGAAGAGAAAACTAAGGCTTAGAATAGTATCAATAAACAATGATTGAGCACAATTATTATTTTAATAGTATCTTCATGACATTTAATATTGAGCACATCCCAGCACTTTGGGAGTCCAAGGTGGGAGGATCGCTTGAAGCCAGGAGTTCGAGACCAGCCTGGGAAACATAACGAGATCCTATCTCTACAAAAAATTTAAAAATTAGCTGGGCACAGTGGTGTGTGCCTGTAGTCTCTGCTACTCCAGAGGCTGAGGCAGGGGGACCCCTTGAGCCCAGGACTTCAGAGGCTGCATTGAGCTCTGATCACACCACTGCACCCCAGCCTGGGCATAATTTCTAATGCCAAATTCTTTGATTCTAGGACATCTTTATTAAAATGGCATATCAAATGTAGCTTCTTGTTGATTCATGCATTATGAGCTTGTTTGAAGGGTTCCAGGCTGCTGTTCTCAAGAAGCAGAGACAAACTAATCTTTGTGTTATTGCTTAGATCAGCTGTTGCTTCAAACTTCTATTATCAGTGCATCCTGAGCTATAGTACAGCGCTGTCTTATTTCATACTTACCTGTCTGGCCACTGACCTACTGGAGGCTATTTCTCACATGGTGTCAAGCACATGGACATTGTGACAACTGTTTTCTTGACGACCTTTTTATTAAACGGTTGTGGTGTTTTTTTTTTTTTTTTTCTTTTTTTTTTTGAGATAAGCACATGGACATTGTGACAACTGTTTTCTCAGGGACCTTCTTATTAAAGGATTGTGGTATGTTCTTCTTTTTCTTTGTCTTTTTTTTTTTTTTTTTTTTTTGGTCTCACTCTGCCACCCAGACGGGAGTGCAGTGGTGCGATCTCAGCTCACTGCACCTCCACCTCCTGGGTTCAACTGATTCTCCTGCCTCAGCCTCCCAAGTAACTGGGATTATAGGTGCCCCACCATCACACCTGTAGAGACAGGGTTTCACCATGTTGGCCAGGTTGGTCTGGAACTCCTTACCTCAAGTGATCTACCTGCCTCATCCTCCCAAAGTGCTGGGATTACAGGCATAAGCACCGCCTGGCTGGTATGTTCTGAAAGACTCAAGCCACCAGGTGCCTGACCAGAATGGACAAAAAGGTAGGTGTTCACCTTCTTTTAGATGGTGACTTATTCAAAAGTTCTAGCAACCTGATGGCCGTAGGCCTTATTCTTTCTTTCCAGCATCTTTTTTACATTCTTTCCTGGGCCTATGCATCTTCTGACAAATTCTAGCCACCATAATAATCAGAGAGGGGACTTCAATCCCGGTGTTGCTTTTACTTTAGCCAGAGTAACCTCCCAATTTGTAATTAAAACAGAAAATCAAACTCTCCAGGGAACCCAGATACTCCCATGTTGACATACACTAACACTGCCACTTGCCTTAAACAAGAGAAGTGGGTTGAGAAGAGGGAGTATAGTTATTCTAGTAGAGGTACTTGTGTGCCAAGGGACAGATTGGCAGGCAGAGGAAATAGGGACATAGTATCTTCTGTACTCTAAGCCTGCATAAGAGGAATTTAACTGCTTTCATCAGTTAGCAAACTAATTGAGGGGTTCTGTTATGAAATGCTGGACTCCTTGAATACATTGGATAGCCTTGTGCTTGAGGTGGATGCTATAGTGATAAGTGATTTTCATCTTGCTTGTTCTGGAAATAGGTAAGGACATGAGAATTTGAATAGTGCTGGAGCTGACCATAATGAGGGGGCAATTATCCTGCTTTATAAGTCCTGCAGAAACTGAGCTGTAGGACTCAAAATACAGCGGATTAGAAACATACCTTCCTCCTGAAATGCCAATAAAATGACAGTAAAGGAATGTTAAATGATATAAGGACAAAGAACATGAGAGAAATTATGGCAGCATCCAGGCAATGTCAGCAAAACCTTTGAATCTGGAAAGCAAAAAACAAGGAACAAACTGAGTAAACCACAGAAAGCAGAAATCTGGGACAGGCGCTGGAGGAGTGTTACCAGCAATAAGCAAGCACATTTGTACCACAGAACCCCAGAAAAGGCTTAGGAATTGGAGGTATCAGTTATCTGGAAAACAAGAGGTAGTAGATGGAGGGCTTAAAAACAAGATGGTTACTTGAAAGACTATAAAGTTAGTCCTGAGACTCTCACCCCTTATAAATTCATTCATTCAATCTCCTGGGGAAGACGAACTAGTTGGAGCCACCAAGAACAACTGGGAGCTGAGGGGAGACATCCTACTGAATATAGGGATTTAAAGCTTAGCATTCTGTTTGTTTTTTTAAGACAGGGTCTCACTCCATTGCCCAGGCTAGAGTATGGTGGCATAATCATGGCTCGCTGTAGCCCCAACCTCCTGGGCTCAAGTGATTCTCCCACCTCAGCCTCTTGAATAGCTGGGACTACAGGCATGCACCATCACACCTGGGTAATTTTTATATTCTATGTACAGACAGGATTTCACCATGTTGCCTGGGCTGGTCTTGAACTCCTGGACTCTAGTGATCTGTCTACTTCGGCCTCCCAGAGTGCTGGGATTACAGGCATGAGCCAGTATGCCCAGCCTAAACCTTGGCATTCTGAAGAGTCGGAAACCCTTCCTTGGCTTAGATCCCAGAACTCTGAAACTTGGCTGTTATCTTAGGATACTGCTTTCACTGCAGCCCTCTCAAGGTGATTTTTTTCTCCCACAGTCCTATTACTGTTCCTGGAGATGGGGTAGATGATATTCTTGTTCCTCATTACTGCTTCCAGACATGTCTCCTATCTTTTAAAACTCTCAGTTTTAAAAACTCCCATACCATCAAATTATATCTCTTCTCTTCATTGCTATCATCTACAAAATCTACAAACCCGTGGGTCATTCCCTCTCATTTCTCAGTAAGTTTAGCTCGTTACTCATTTCATTTCCTGCAACACTACTCCTGATTTAATTCTTGGCAATTTTTAATTACACACATGGATAATCCTTCCAACATCTGACTACAGGTTCTTTGAATAGTTTTCCACTGATCTTGTTCTCTATTTCCATCCATTCACTCTCACAGTCATACCTTAGATCTGTCTTATTATTAGTAAAAGCTGTAACCCCTCCATAATCTATCTCATCTGACCACCACTGTCTATCTTCCAGACATCTGGTAACTTAACTCCAGCACTCCTTTCACAACCACCTTTTCATTGTCCCTAATCTCCAAGTTCCTTCTCTTCCCATCATAATCAACTTAAATCTCAGGAGCAATCATTATAATCATGCAAATTGCATGTATGTTTAACTTAGTTTACCCCTTTTTGTCACACTCACTTTGCAAAATCACAACTTTAAAGCCAGCTCTTTGCCTACTTTGTACCTACTTCTGTGCAGCAACTATGCTGAATAGTATCTCTTTAAATTCTTATCCATAACTTTCAGGCCTTTAATGCTGCCTGACAATCATATTTCCCTATTTACCTTCCCATTCTCCTAGATCAGGAGTCAGCCAACTTTTTCTGTAAAGGGCCAGATAAACATTTTTGGCATTGCAGGTCATAGTCTCTTTTGCAGTTATTCAACTATGCCACTGTAGCATGAAAGTAGCCAGAGGCAATATGTAAATAAATTTGAGGTGCATTTTTTTACATGTCATGATGTAATATCATCTTAAATTTTCACCCAATCATTTAAAAGTAAAAAAGTATCCTTAGCTTGTGGACTGCACCAAAATAGGATTTGGTCACAGGCTATAGATTGCTGTGTTATGTCCTAAATTATTTCATACCTTCTCTTTTCTTCCAATACTTCCTTCCCCATTCTCTCTCTCAGATGATGACCTTGCTTTCCACTTCATTCATCCCTCACATCTACTTACTTACCAGCATCTATAGGCATATGTTCAGCTTTCCCTTCCATTGCTGTGTTACCTTGCACAATGTCTAAATACTACATAACTCGCTGTTTTTCTTCCTCACTAGAGTCTAGTCCCAGAAGACAGTTTTGTCTGATGTATACCCAGAACCTGGAACAGTGTTTGGCACATAGTAAGTGCTCAACAAATACCTGAATGAATGAATACTATGAGACTAGCAGGCAGGCAAAAGTATAGAGAATTTTACTCCAGAAGAACTTACCTCTCTTTCTAAGAGAAAAGACCTACCTGTCCTGACAGTTTGAGATCTCCTTGATTATCCTAAGTGGTACCTTTTCAAATTTATTTGAAAAAACACGCACAATTGAAAAAAAACAACTCCTATTTTATGGGATCAAACCAGTATATAATATGTATATATGATATGTGTGTGTAAGAAACTGAAGTTTCACAAAGTAATTCCCTTTCCATGTATGACGTATTCTGAGGTAGTATTTTCTATTCTGTTCTGTCATTTAGAGGAAATAGAACTGATTAGATTGATTTCACAAACTATCAGAAGTTTGAAAAATACTGCAGTATGTCCTACTAATTACAAGTCCTGAGTATGTACACAGAACCTTTTTTTTTTTGGAGACAGAGTCTTGGTCTCCAGCCCAGGCTGGAGTGCAGTGACATTATCTCAGCTCACTGCAACCTCTGCCTCCTGGGTTCAAGTGATTCTCATGTCTCAGGCTCCCAAGTAGCTTGGATTATAGGCCCATGCCACCATGCCTGGCTAATTTTTGTATTTTTAGTAGAGACAGGGTTTCACCATGTTGGCCAGGCTGGTCTTGAACTCCTGGCCTCAAGTGATCTGCCTGCCTCAACTTCCCAAAGTGCTGGGGTTACAGGTGTGAGCCACCTCACTGGCCAATATAAACAGAACTTTCCATCAGCTTTCTAATGCCCCACTCTTACATATTAGTGGATAGCCAAGGATATCCAGACTTTTAAGAAAAGCTTCCAACACAAAACAGAAACAAAGACTTAAAAATTCAACACAGACAATTCAAGAAACAAAAGAAAACATTAGAAATAATTTTAGAATAATCAGATACTGCAACCACCAAATGGAACAGACTGCTACATTTAAAAAGGGGAGGAGGGTGGACAAGAAAGTGCTTCCCTGGAGGACATTATGCCAAATGGAATAAGCCAGGCACTGAAAGACAACTTCACGTGATTCCCAATGTAGAATCTAAAACAAACTCAGAGAATAGAATGATGGTTACCAGAGAGTAGAGGGAGGAGATATTAGGAGAAACCGGGAGATGTTGGTCAGAGAGTACAAAGTTTCAGTTAGACAAAGGGAATACATTTTTTCAGATAAATAGTATAGCATGGTTAATAATAGTGTATTGTATATGTCAAAATTGCTGAAGGCAAATTTCAAGTATTCTCATCACAAAGAAGTATTTGAGGTGATGGATATGTTAATTAGCTTGATTTAATCTTTCCACATTGTATACATATAACATCACTTTGTACCCCATAAGTATATCCAATTTGTACTTGTCCATTTACAATAAAAGTTTACAAAACTAATAAATGTTTTTTAATTATAAGAGAGGTTGACAAAAAAGTGCTCTGGTACATTTAAAACATGATAACAAAAATTTTCAAATTCAAAAGAAAAGCTGCAAGATGGAAATCTTTCAGAAAAACAGAAGTAGAAAACAGGGAAGAAGAGATAAAATTATTTCAGGACAAAAGTTGTGCAATAGGTTTAGAGAACAGCTAGTCCAGAGTGCAGGATGATGGGCTCCTAGAGAGTTGTCTCCAGTTTTTAAAATAAACTGAGAGACTACTGGATGTGTTTCAATGTTTTGAGAGGAGAATTTGAGATAAACTGATTATAGACACTAGAATGCTAGGTACTTCAGAAAGTTGCATGGAGAAAGAGGCAATGGTTAACCTCAAAGAAAGGAAATGTAATCATACTATGCTAGTTGGACCAATTATATACCTTTATAATAGTATAATGAATAGTCCCCTACCTATATAGGGTGATACAAATTGAAGGACGGAAGATGGAGAAATAATATATGTATGTATTAGCAGTCGTTAGAGTATAAATATATATCTTATTTCCCATAACAAAAAGTAAAATAATGTCCCAAACTGAAAAATTAAGAACTAGTAGTATAAGCAGGCTATTTAGAAATTTGGAGATAAATCCCAGAAGAGATAGCTGGGAGAAAAAAGATTAGATCTAGGGAGTAGAAACTGAGTGTAGAGGACTGGAACAGAGTCTACTGTTTTTCATTATAAACCTAGTGATATTATTTGATTTATTAATGTAATAATAAAAATCTGATTAATGTGGTACTTCATTTATTTGAAAATTTTAGGAGGAAGGACTGTTTTCATTAAGTTTTTTTTTTTTTTTTTTTTTTTAGGGGGGGGTCATTATGGTTTCCCAGGCTGGAGGGAAATGGCACGATCTTGGCTCACCACAACCTCCACCTCCTGGGTTCAAGTGATTCTCTTGCCTCAGTCTCCCAAGTAGCTGGGATTACAGGTGCCCACCACAACTGGCTTTTTATATTTTTAGTAGAGACAGGGTTTCACCATGTTGGCCAGGCTGGTCTCAAACTCCTGATCTCAAGTGATTCACACACCTCGGCCTCCCAAAGTGCTGGGATTACAGGTGTAAGCCACTTCGCCTGGCCCTTCTACATCTTTTTTTTTTTTTGAGACAAAGTTTTGCTCTGTCACCCAGCTGGAGTGCAGTGGCTCAATCTCAGCTCGCTGAAAACTGTCTCCCAGGTTCAAGCGATTCTCATGCCTCAGCCTCCTGAGTAGCTGGGATTATAGGTGCTTGCCACCATGCCTGGCAAATTTTGTATTTTTAGTTGAGATGGGTTTCACCATGTTGGCCAGGCTGTTCTTGAACTTCTGACCTCAGGTGATCCACCTGTTTTGGCCTCCCAAAGTGCTGGGATTACGGGTGTGAGCCACCACACTGGGCCTATTTTCATTAAGTATTCTAAGATACTGGGAAATCAACAATACTGATTGGCACCTCTAAAAGGAACTAAAAATTCTCCCCACTCTAGTACTGACCTGCACTGTGGTGTTTTGTTATTTTAGGGACCCCAGTAACTTGTCAGCAGTAGCTCTAGAAACATAATATTCTGTCCCCATACATTGTTGTTATCGTGGTGAACACCAGCAAGTGATGCACTTCGGTGGCTTTATACGCAGCAATAGACTGAAAAATCCCACTAAACAGGGCTGAGTAGGAGGGAGCATCCTAGCGGGTGCACACAATAAAGAAAAGGGCTCATAAGACCTTTCCAGGGAATGCTCAGAAATAACTGGAAGGATGTGTGTATGTGTGTCCCTAGTCATAATCACTGGAGGCACAATACAATGAAATCACCGACGCTGTGCATAACTCCATTTGTTCTCCTGGACTGGTATTGCCTGGGTAAGTGCTGGGTAGATCAGAATGGGTGGGGTGGAAGAATAAGGGGCATCCAGAGAGCTATGTGATCACTGGACGGGAAAGGGCATGGGGGGATGCAGACAGATGGCAAAACCTTGGTCCAAGATATATTTGTCCCAGATACACAAATTGTCACTTTGCTCCCTCCCTTTGTGACTTCCACACTTATAAAAAAGGTTCCTCTTCCTTTTCTAACCATGCCCCACCAGGGAATTTTTCAGGCCTTACAAAGAAGTGAGAGGACCCAGGCCAGGTGGGAGGTTACACCGGGACCTATAGCACTCATTTCGAGGAAGGGAGTAGGGAAACTTAGTTACAAGGAAGCAAGGAAAAGAGAGGGAGAAGAGTGGGTACTAAGGCCAGTGCTGTCTATAAACAGAACAACTCCCATGTGCACATCTTTGGGCATCTCAGCATCCCCTCTCATGAAATCTGATAAGGATTCAAGTAGGTGCTAGATACTTTTCTTTTAGACTAACCAGAGGAGCCTGTCCTATTCACCTTTTCCCTGGTCCCTACAAACATCATATTAATCTGTCTCCAGGTATTAACAATAATAAGACAAAGTCCTTACCCTCAGAGAACTCACAATATTTTGGTGGAGGCTGGAGTATAAAGGCAAATGTGAAAACTTAATTTTATCACAATGGGGTAAAGTTAAGAGATCTATGCAAACATAGAAAGGAGTGCACTTAGGGAAGGTTTTCTGGCTTAGAAGACTCCTGACCTAAAGGAAAAGTGAGAGTTATCTAGATATGAGCAGGGCAGAACAAGAGAAACTGACCCCTCCAGTCTGTTGAGTCACCTGAAATTACATTCATTTTTTGGCAGACATATACTTCCCCCAAACGTTCAGCTGTAGCAGCTGTGCCAGTTCTTCCTTGTCAGCCCGCTCCTTACCTGGGCCTAAGCCTTCATTGTCTCCAGTCAGGCAACTATCTCGTAGTCACACTCCACTCATGGCAGCCACATTCTGTATTTGAGAACAGCACTACCTAACAGCACTATAACATTTTATATTGGCTACATTTAAAGGTTAAAAAACAGGTGAAATATTTTACTAATATATTTTATTTAACCTAATATATCTAAAATATTTAAACCATAAAATTATTGAAATATTTTTCATTTTAAAAATATTGTATTTGAAATTAAATAGTCTTTGAAATATGCTGTATATTTTACA